CTTTAACCTACTGCAAATTTTCTACCATTTCTAAGGCACTGCGGAAAGAACCTCACTGCTCCAGCAGACTTTTGCCTGCGAGTGGGAGACACATAGGTTGTGCAAGGGGAATTTAACACGGCCTTGCCCGCCACCCCTCCTAAGTCCAGCCATGAGGGGACAGAGGAAGGTTTTCTGGCTTGCGTTTAATAAACCAAGTTGTGAGTCCATCCAATTTTCCTTATTTATTTACAAGGCTATTGAGATATTTATTCCAGCATGCGCGCGTGTGTGTGCGTGTGCGAGTGTGTGTGCGTGTGCGAGTGTGTGTGCGTGTGCGAGCGTGTGTGCATGTGCGAGCGTGTGTGCGTGTGCGAGCGTGTGTGCGTGTGCGAGTGTGTGTGCGTGTGCGAGTGTGTGTGCGTGTGCGAGTGTGTGTGCGTGTGTATGCCTAAGAGTTCTACCACATCGCAGACTTCAGTGGAGTCTTTACATCACAGATCATGTAAACGTTGTTTATGACAAACCAAGATTCCTAAACCAGAGCAGACCCCTCCAAATGAATTCTGCCCTGGACGCTCTCCTTGGAGGGCACTTTTCTATGATTCCTTTCTCCTTTCCTCCCCGTGAGATCCATGGAAAAGAGTGTCAGGACACCCGTGGGGGACAAACAGGTTTGAAAGAGGACACCTGTCTGCCGGAAGCTCCTGAAACTCGTGCACCAGCCCCTCCCCACCTGTGGCCCCACTTCCCACGCGCTGCCCGCCGCCACGCCACTGGGCGTGCGGCTAAAGGCGGGTGTCACTGGGCCCTCGGCCTCTTGACTAAAAGATGCTGCCGCTAACCAAAATATCACGCCAACTAACCGAAACAAAACAGAAGGGGCAGCAAAAGAGCAGGGATACAAGAGAGCACACGTTGGGGCTCCAAGGACATTAGACACGGGCACGTCTTATAAACACGCACTAGTAAGTAAGCTCGAGAGGGGAAACACGCAACACACACCTGCGAGGAGCCTCCCCGGCCCAGGCAGCGACAGAAGCGCTGCTGGAAGATGAGGAGGACCTGGTCTCGACAAAAGATCATTATCAGGAGGTGGCAACTGAAACAATACCTTTTAATCCAGGTTTGTGGTGCTTTGGGATTTCATTCATATTTAATTTACTGAAACACAGAGGCCTAGCGATTTATAGGCAAGCGAAGTACAAAACACGGAGCAAAAGAGTCTGTGTGCAAGACACATTAAGTCCCTCTGAAACGTGTCTTCCGTATGACACTGTGCACAGCAAGCCTAGATCTTTAACTCCAGGCTCTTCTAAGGCCTCTGAACAGGGCAGTCTGTACCTGGTCCCTCGAGAGTGACTGTCCCCCCAGATGACTTGATGTAGATTAGGTGCGACACTGGGAGCGGCTTCCAAGGGCAAAGAGCTTCGGTTCCGCACGAGCCTCGAGGCTGTGCTGCTCCCTCCTTCTCGGAGCGGGAGACAGAACTCGGCGTTGCACGTCGGAAAACAGCCCTCCGTACGGATGGAGTCTTTCAGTGCTGCCTGTGCCAGGAACAAAACAGAATTCTCGGAACCCAGACGTGAATGTTGCGAAACAATTTTGTCTTTCTCCCTAGAGAGGTTGACCGATTAGGGAGATATTTAACAGAAGGTCTGTGCTGCCTCCACAGAGCTGGTCTCCGCAAGCCCCTGACTCGAAATCGAGAGAGTCGGGGTAACCTGAAGGAAGCAATCGACTTACACCTATGAATAACCAGAGCAAGACGAAGCAGTGCTTGGTGACTGTATTCGTTTTCTATCACTGCTGCAAACTGCCACCAATTCAGCGGCTTAAGTCAACGACCACTCACAGCCTCCAGAGCTGAGGGCCGCTGACAGCCAGCCAAGCCGCGGGCGCTCAGTCCGACAACCCCAAGAACCGGACTCTGCCAACAACTCGAGCCCAGATGGGGACGCAGCCTGGCCGGTGCCCGGATGGCAGCCTTGAGGTCCCAGGGGAGGACACGGCTAAGCCGTGGAAACTGGGAGAGAAGCCATACATGCTGCTGTAGGCTGGCGTATTTGTAGTCATTTCTCGTACAGCATGTGACACTATGGAAGTGGCTGCCACTCTCACGAATGCCCAGATGTGGGAGGAGCTCTGGATTCTGGCAGCGGGTGGAAGCTGGGAGGCTTCGGAGGAGCAAGAGAAAAGCGTAGCCTGCCCGGAACTATTGGGGGAGGAGGGCGCTGGCGACCTGGAGCCGGGAAGCTGCAGTGACTCGGGGGCAGTTCTGTCCCTGGCGAGCCGGTCACACACACACACACACACACACACGCGCACACACACACACACACACACACACACACATACACACATGCACACACGCGCGCGCACACAGGGGTTTCCCAGCTCAGCAGGGCAAATGCGACAGGAGAGGCAGATGGAGGGAAGAGCTGTCAAGTAAAAGGAACGACAGCTTTGAAAACAGCCTCTCCAGATGGCAAAAGCTGCAAAGATTAAGAGACTGACTGTCAGGAGAGTGTGTCCCAGAGAAGAGGTCAAGGCTGGCCACACAACTTTTGTTGAAACCCTGGGAAGATCACGAGGTCAGAGTGCAGTCACAGGGAGGGCGAACGAGCGTCTCACAGATCCTCTGTCAGACTAGAGGGCAGAGGATAAGGGTCAAGGGTCAAGAGTCAAGGGTGGGGTCCCTCTGCCATCTCAGCAGGAGGCCCAGCTAGAGAAGGGGTCATCCCTAAAAGATTTGTAGTTAGACTCGTGTCTAATAGGGTGAGTCCCCATGCAAGCCACCGAAGACCTATAAGATTCTTGGGAAACTTGTTCTGGCCGAGCCGCTGCCAGCTGGGACCAACAGGGACAGAGAGGGGATGAAACAAAAGGCGGACTCCCTTTGGGCCCCTTGGACACCCTCCCTTTGGACCCCCAGACTTCTCTGGCAGGAAGGAGGCCACCAGCCCGGCCCAGCCGCACACACCTGCGTGCCGCCTTCCACGGAGGGGGAAGGATGCTGTAGAAGGTGAGACAAGACCCAGGGCCTCCCACAGGGACCTCAATGCACCAGCAGTGCCTTGTTTCCTTCCGTTCTCCCGTTTGAATGGAACACCGACAGCTGCCGCCCATGCCCGGCCCACCGCCGTGCGCTGGGTGTGTGGGGCGATGGCTGCTCTGGTGCCACAGGTCAGCGGCAGAGAGGAACTGTGCCCAGGAGCTGCGCCCGAGAGACCACACTGCACGTTGATCTGCACCCACATCCCACCCGGGTGGTGAGCGCTGGGACTCCGGACGCTGCTGCTGGCCCAGACTCTGGGGAGCGGTGGCGTGCTCTGCACACTCGAGGGGCAGGGCACATGGCCTGCGGGTGACTGCTCGGACATGCCCTAGGGAGGCCACGGCGTAGGCCCCGGTGGTCACAGCTCTTATAGCCCCTCCCTGAGTGCCGGCAAGACCAAGGCCCTGCCTCTGACCGGCCGGTGGCAGTAAAGGTGATGGGACACTCCACGACTATGGCTCATGACGTGGCGAAACCAGGGCATTTGGGAGAGGAAACCAAGGTGGGCTGACTTTGAGTTCATCAAAAGGGGGCTTGGCACAAAGAGTGTGAAAGCCTCCTTGCTAGAACAGGACCATCCCACCTTCACAGTGGGAAGCTTCTGGTTCTCTCCAAGAAAGGAAGGTTGCAGCCTCCCTTGAAAGGGGCGGGCCAGCACTGGCCTAGACGAGCGGAGGCAGAGGAGCCGCAATGCGGGGCACGGGGCAGTGATGGGGACAACACGCAGGGCACAGGGCGGCCTCCGGGGACGGCACCCAGTTACCAGCGGGAAAACACTGAAAACCAAACACGTGTGTGGGGGGAGGCAGGACGCCACAGGCAGTGTTTGCCCCTAGTTGTCACACAGAACAGCTGCCTACGATGTCACCATCTCAAATACACGGCTGGGAAGGCTTAGGGGGGGCCATCAGTGGTCACAGTCCAGGGGGCAGGGCTGTCTGTCCCCGGAGACAAAGACACACAGAAGAATGGCCAGGCTCGTCCTGAGCAGGTCGCTCCTGATGACAGGAGGCAGAGGAGTGGAGCTGGGCTGGGGGACGCCTCCCCGTGAACGGGGTCCTGCCACGAAAGCTACAAACGAGAGATAAAGGGTACGGCGGAAAGATCCTTCAGTAAACAAGTGACTATCTAAAAGAAAAAAGAAAGGTGGCTGTAAAGTTAAAGCAGTTAAAGTAGAAAGAAACTTACACAGGAGTCTAAGAAGCAGAGAGCCGAAGCACAGAACGCTCTGGAAGCGAGGCACTGAGACGAAGGCGAGACCGAATGCATTAAAAGTGTCCTAAAAAGCATCCCGGCATGTGGGACAAAAGGAAATGTTTTAGAAACTACATATCGAAAAGACACAAAGACTTTATTCTGGCTTTATTCTGGTAAGAGAGAAAGAAATAATATAGGTATTTTTTCCCAAAGCCAGAACTTGAAACACAGTTATGACAATGACTAAACGAGGTGCACTGAGAGTCAGTGCAGTGTCTCAGATGTTTTCGTGGATGTAAATGTCACCAGTCCCAGAGGTGGAGCCCAGAGGCGGGTGGAAGACGCTATCTGGATGTATTAACACACAACTTCCATGTGTGCATGGAGCCACTACCACCAGGAGCACTGGAAGACAGCCACAGCCTCTCGTGCCACACCTGCACCTAGGCCATGAGAAAGGGTCATCCCTGCTACCGCCCAGCTGGTGTGGTTAATGTGTCAGGACACCTGTGTCCCCCAAACCTACTCCCCTGATCCGAGAAGTCAAAGTTCCTGGAATAGCTATGAGTCCAGCTCCAATTCTTAGAATCGTAGGATTGTAATGATTTCTGCAAACATCTACTCACAGTATCACAGCCTCTCTTGTGCATATACAATTTTCATTAATGGTCAAATCTTATCAGTCACGCGCTGACCCATTAGCAATATAAAACCAATCTTACGTAACAACCTCTAGTTGCCAAATATCGCGGGAAGCTGCACTTACTTCTGTTGTAGCAGGTGGCCAGCACACCTTTATCTGCAGGGCTGGTGCTGATGTGCCAGATCTCACCCACTTGATGGAGGAGGACGTTTTTATTTATAATGTTATTCTCATCATCAAAATCTATGATGTGGATCTACAAACACAAGGAGAGAGCACATCAGGATCTCAAATGCTTTCCTCGGCATCTTAAACATCATGATCACAAAGAATAATCAAATGCATTTCACAACAGATACACATTTAATTGTTATTCTGATCACACTAACAACAGGATGTACTTCTGTAATTTAATTCTTACCGCACTCCTCTCCAAACACAAGGTATGAAATCCTTGTGCGGCGTTTTTAGGATGGGCAGGCTACATAACACTGCCCTCTGGCTATGTCCCGTCTTAAAGAAATAAGACCCCAAAAGCTCTGTCCCCGAGTGGCTCTAAGGTGAGGCCATCACTGGCGTTGGAGCCGGAGTTGTCCAGGGTTGTCCAGATAGATCCGCCAGGTCCTGCTAACTTGCCGCTGTCTGGCCGGAGGGAGGCTGAGGCAGGCACTGTCGCCTAAGTAGCTCTGAGACTGACCATCGGCCTGCTCGGTAGTGGGCAGAACTCAGCTCACACGTCAGAAGTGATTGAGGTAGGAAACAGTAAGAAAATACTGTATATTAGCACATTTTAAGCTTTTCTTCTTTTTGGTTTTTTTTTTTTTTTGAGAGAAGAGTTCGCTCGTTGCTGGGCTAGAGTGCCATGGCGTCAAACTTGCTCACAGCAACCTCAAACTCCTCCAGCAATCCTCCTGCCTCATCTCTGAGGCTGGATACAGGCACTCGCCACCATACGGTACATTTTTTCCTTACTCATATTAGTTGGCCAATTAATTTCTTTCATTCATAGAGGAGGGGTTTCTCTTGCTCAGGCTGCTGCTCACTGAACAAGCGAATCCTCTCGCTCGGCCTGCCCAGAGTGCTAGCATTTTAGACTTTTCTATTTATTTTAATTGTTTTACGAAACTGGGTCTTGTGTGCAGGCCCTGGAGTGCAGAGGCACCATTCAAGATCACTGCAGCTCGAACTTCGGTCTTAAGGGTACTCCGCTCAGCCTCCAAGCAGCTGACTAACGGTGTGAGCCGCCAGCCTGACATCCGACTTTGGGATGGACCACGCCTACTGCATATGTTAACATCTAATCAATAGCTTTATTTTAGCCACTAAATGAAAAAGTTAAATCATGCTACATCTCATGTTTTCATGAAATTTTTTTTTTTCTTTTTTTTTTGAACATATACTTTGTTGCCCAGTAGACGTGAGTGCATGGCGGCAGCAGCTCACAGAACACCATCAGATCCTGACCGGAGCTAAGCAGATCCTACTGCTCAAGCTCCCGAGTTAGCTGGGCATAGGCATGGCCACAGCCCATGCTATTTTTCTGTCTGTATTAGTTGCCAAATTAATTTCTTTCTGTTTATAGTAGAGACGGCGGGTCTCGTTTGTCAGGCTGGTTTTGAACTCCTGACCATCGAGCATCCACCCGCCTCGGCTCCAGAGTGCTTAGGATTACAGCGTGAGGCCACCGCGCCCGGCCTTTTCATGAAAATTTTTAGAAGAATTAAAATGATTTCACATTCAGTCTCTTATCAATATCTAAGTCAATGTCAAAACGTAATTCTTCTTTTAAAATAAATATGTAACGAGAATATTCCATGGATCTGTTACAAGATTATACTCAAGAATGTTCACCATGGCATTGACTATTGTAATGAAAAAGTACAGTCATGCAAATGTTTGTAAGAGAGAACTGTTCATATAAAGTGCAGTATCTGACTGCAATGTAATACTATGAGGCCATTCGAGATACTGTAGAAGAATATCTAATGCCACAGGAAAATGTCCATCATATATTTAAGGGGAAGAGAAAATTTTAAAAACTGTAAAAGCGTAACACCATTATTATTTTAAAAAAGTGTTCAATGTCCAGACAAGAGAACTTGCAGGAAACTGGCTATCTCTGGGTGGGAGGATTATAGGTATTTTTCCTTTACTTCTTTGTGACTTATTTGTGTTTTTAATATTTCTTCATGATTAATATCTATTACTTCTACACCAAAAAATTACATGTCTATTTTTTTTTTTTTTTTCTGAGACGAAGTCTTGGCTTTGTGTCAGGCTGAGTGAAGTGCCTTGGCGTCAGCCTAGCTCACAGCAACCTCAAACTCCTGGGCTTGAGCGTCCTTCTGCCTAGCACTCCAGTAGCTGGGACTACAGGCATGCCCACCATGCGGCTTGTATTTTTCTATATATATCGTTGGCCATTAATTTCTTTCTATTTATAGTAGAGCGTCTCATCTTGCTCAGCTTGGTTTTGAACTCCTGACCTTGAGCAATCCGCCCGCCTCGCCTCCCAAAGCTAGGATACAGGCGTGGCCACCGTGCCCGGCTTAAATGCTATTTTAATACTTGTTTTTATGACACCCACTAGTGTCTGCCCGCCACTAGTGTCTGCCCGCCATGTTGCTTCAGATGGCTTCTTTTTTTTTTTTGCAATAGAGTCTCACTTTGTTGCCCAGGCTAGAGTCAGGTGCCCTGGGGTCAGCATAGCTCCAGCAACCTCAAATCCTGGGCTCAAGCAATCCTCCTGCTCAGCTCCCGAGTAGCTGGGACTACGGCATGCACCCACCATGCCCAGCTAATTTTTCTATATATATTAGTTGGCCAATTAATTCTCTCTATTATAGAGAACAGGGTCTGGCTCTTGTCCAGGCTGTTTCGAACTCCTGATTCCCATTAATCTGCCCGCCTCGGCCTCCCAGAGTGCTGGGATTACACGCGATGAACCACCGCGCCCGGCCTTAGATGGCTTCTTGTTAGACCTTTGACTGCTTCTTCTCATGCAATGTTTTCATGAAAAACAATCTCTGTCCTCTTAAAGAGTCGCTCTGGACTCACTCAGAGTAGAATCCAAACCTGCCCCTGCGGGCGACTTCCGGGGCCCCACTCTTGGGGCCCCAGAACCTCGTCCAAAAAAAAAAAATTAAAAAAAAAAAAAAAAAAAAAAAACCTGCCCCTGCACAGGTTTGAAGGGCTGTGTGACGATGAACCGCAATTTCCCCGTGTGCACCGTGAAGACACCGCACTGGCCTCCTGGGATCAACGGGAAACCAGGCACGGCAGGGCACGTCCTGACGCACAGACACTAAAAACCACTGCTATTGTTATTAAAACCATTTTCAGTAAGTTTTTCCCTGCACTCATGCCCTAATGTGGTGGGTTTTGGGATTTTTTGTTGTTTTTTGTTTGTTGTTTTTTTTGTTTGTTTTTTCTTGAGAAAGTCTCAGCCTGTCACCCAGGCTAGAGTGTAGTGGTGTCATCACAGCTCACTGCAGCCTCACACTCCTGGGCTCAAGCGATCCTCCTGCCTCACCGCTCCCAAGCACTGGGACTACGGCATGCGCCACCATCCCGGCTAAGTTTTTATTTTTTGTAAAGATAGGGCTTCACTCTTGCCGGCTGACCAATGTGGTTTTAACAGTGGGTTTAGAATATTCCTGGAGGACAACTTCTGACTTACAGATCATACTTGAGAACTGAGGAAACTACACACTTTTTATTAAAGTGAAGGTTTCCTTTCCACATCAAGAAATTTTACCTACACTCTTCCCTCCACGGAATGTTACACATTTGAAATCTATTGATGATATAAATAATTATTAAGAAATACTTGGCAATCTCAGAACTCACTATAGTTAAACACACACATGTCCTCTGACCAGACAATTCTTTTTGTTTATTTTTTAGAGACAGGGTCTCACTCTGCTCTATCACCCAGGTTAGAATGCAATGGTGCGATCACAGCTCACTGTAGCCTTGAACTCCGGGGCTCAGGCGATCCTCCTGCCTCAGCCTCCCATGTAGCTGGAACAACAGGTGTGCCACGCTCAACTAATAGTTTTTATTTTTTTGGTAGAGACAGTGTCTCACTATGTTGCCCAGGCTGGTCTCAAACTCCTGGGCTCAAGTGATCCTCCCACCTCAGCCTCCCAAAGTGCTGTGATTACATGGTGTGGGCCACTGCGCCCAGCCTGACCCAGCAATTCTGCTACTGGGCACAGACTCATCAAATGCCAGCGAAAGACATGTGCAAGAATTCTCACAGTACATTTATTCATGACAGCCAAAAACGATATACATACCTAAAGATCCGTGGACAATAGAACAGGCAAATAGTTGTTCATTCACAAAGTGAAACACAGTCATAAGAAAAGCAAACACGCACACAGACAGTGCTGAGGGAGAAAGTCAGGCACGAGAGCAACGCTGTATGATTGCTTCATATGAAGCAAAGAACGGGCAAAACCATCTGGAGTGGGAACACCGGCCACTCACGGCGGGCCTGTGGCTGGCTCAGACCCTGAGGGGGCTGGTGGGGTGCTGGGGACGGCCTCCTTGGTGGTGACAAGGTGCACCTGGGGCAGGTATGTGTGCACAGCTGTGGGAGAATGTGTGCATGTGAGTGTGTAAAAACGCATCAAGCTGCATACTTCGGATATGTGCACTTTCATGTATGTAAGTTATACTTTACAAGCAGAAATCCACTGGAGTGAAAACAAGTAGCAAACAAACAGGTGAGGGCCAGGCACGGTGGCTCGCACCTGTAGTCCCAATTACTCAGGAGGCTGAGGTGAGAGGATCACCTGAGCCCAGGAGTTTGAGGCTGCAGTGAGCTCTGATCATATACTGCACTCCAGCCTGGGCAACAGAGTGAGACTCTGTCTCAAAAAAATAAAAAAAATTATACAAAATAAGTAAGTGAGGAAATTTTATTCTTTATTATAACCAATCACTTAAAATTTTTAAAATAAGAATTCTGTGATACCAATTTTTAATAATATTTATTATATTAGCCAATTTTTTTTAGTGGTGACAACCAATAGTAAAAAGGCTTTAGTAAAACCTGCACACATTGTAATTGGTATATTTCTTTTAGAAGATTTACTATAATATGTAAATGAGAACTATATAAATGTCAGAATTTAAACAATAATCTGATTTCTTAAAATCTGCCCCAAAGAATAAATGAAAAAGGTATATCATGGAATGTTATGTAGCTTTAAAATTATGATTAAAGGCAATTATAAACACCAAAAA